GGCCCGGATGGCAGTAACTGGGGAATAATTGAGGACACACTGATGCAGAGGAAATAACGGCTTTTATAGGGCAAAAAAGAGAATGTGGGGGGGGGGAGGGGGCTGTGTAGCAGTCGTGTGTCGGGACTGTGTGCGTCCATCCGCGTCTGTCCTTGTCTTTCATTATCTTGAGATTGAGACAAATAGAGGGCCGATCTGCCCTCCTGCCTAAACCTCCACATCGTTTACCCCTGACATCACAACTGGGCGAGTGTCCCGTCTGTGCGCCCGTGTCTTCCATTCAGAGTCGCATGCAGAGTTTGTGCGGTATGTATGGCGCATGTGTGCATGTCCACGTGCAAAGTCAATGTGTGTGGGTGTGCGCGAACGCAACCCTTTGACACGCCGGTGATTATGTGCGACACGTGTGTGCGTCCACCGGTCAGGTGCTCTGTGAGCGGGTTTTAATTATTTTGTGTTCAAGTGTCGCCTATGTTTAGCCGTTGTGTCGCGAGCGCGCACACACACACACACACACACACACACACACACACACTCGGTGTGACTCATTTACACTTCCACGCAGACGCGCAAATGTCCTCACTGGATGACAAACCAGCCGCATGGCTCAACATTAAATGGTGGAGAGGCGTGGAGTCGGTTCATTTAGGCAGCTTTCCCATCCTAAAGCACAGACTTTGAAACTGTCCGTCTCATCTGGCGATGTCGCCAGCGTGCACACACAAGCAAAAAAGTGTGACCGTCAAAAATACCGTGGCCTACCACGCCGGCCCAACATGCACATACGAGATAGTGTGCACCCCCAGAGCCACACACGCGTTTGCTACTTCCAGTTTGCAGACCCCACAGGTGAGTTGACCAGTGAACCAATTGGCAATAAAAAAAATAAAGTTGTTGAATTAGTTCAGCCCAGGGGCAGTGGGCCAACTCCCCTGGAACCGTTTTCACTTTGAGGGCTAATTTAGTTTCTGACCGAACCAGAACAGGTCTGCCGTCCCTCTAATTAAGTGCAGCATTACTCGGGATGAACTAAAAACGATCCTGGCTCCCCGCTCAGGTCTCAGTCCAGGCGTTTTAACTTTGTTTCACTCAAACATGATTGATCTGTGGGCAGACGGAAAGTTTTCTAAGGACTAACATCTTTGACATTTACCCTACGGTTGAAATACACCTTAATGTAACCACATAAACAGATAAACACACTGCCTAACAAACAAGTCAGTAATAACATTTTCTCCTGACTGGGGAACTCACTTCATCCATCAACAGGCAGCAGGTGACATTAGTTTATTTCACTCATCAAGGTCACTCTCCCTGACCAGAGGACCGCGTGCCAAACCACTGCACGTTGGATTAATCAGGAAGCAACGACCCATAAAGCCAAATGATATATCAAATGTCTCCTGCTGGACATTGCTTTTATGGAGGTCAGGCTTAGTAGGTTAAAAAATATGCTGGCCAACAGAATGAGGAAGTGGGATGAAAGGAAAATGCTCTATGCAGAAATATCAGTGGGGAGGGAATGCACCGATTGAGAAATATTCAGAAGATCAAGAAGTGATAGGACAAAAATGACAAAAACAAACCATCCGTAACACGACCAGATCCCGGTCGGTGCTCTCTCTCGTCTCCCGCGTTTCATCCTGTGCATGCTTGTGTAGACGAAATGGACCTGCGCACATGTGAATGTAGGAAATGACTTATTCCAACATCCAATATCTCTAGCAAGAGGGGTCTTGTCTCTGTTAGCGGGACACACGCACGCGGTTTCCATTTAACGGCTGTTTCGCCAGCCGCCATCGGCGCAGCGGGGAAATCAACTGCTCGACCAGTGTTTGAAGTTCAGATATCGGATATCGCCATACTATCACTCCATCCACTACTCCCATCTATCCCCAACTAACACCGCTCTCCCTCAGGCCCCCGAGATTTTCGCTCCCCTCCCCACCCCTCACACGTCGCCGCTCACTCTTACTTAATCATGCGTCTACGCTCCCCCGCTCATCCCGGCCTGACCCAGAGTTGCCCGGGGCGCCGAGAGCTTCGCTTCCCCTCGTCATGCCAGGAGACTTTTATCTCCTCTTGCTCCATCCCTTCTGCTCCCCCAAAGCCTCCATCTGTGGTGAAGTTGTGCTCACGTCCTTTACTAAAGCAAAAGAGGTGATTTCACAGTGTACAAACACTCTTAAAAGGGAAAGAAAAGTATTACCACAGAAATGTTCTCATTGGTATTGTAGATAGCAGTATTTACTACCCAGAATGGCCCCTTAAAGAGTTTAAATGGTATACAATACTTTTCTTTTAAAGCTAATTTCTCATCCAATTTTCGTCCACTTACCATAATCATCTTGGGAACAGTGGACTAAACAGATCATTCGAGAAACCCCCGCTCTCCTGAAGCGTTGTCCAGCTCCTACCTGCCGAGGCGTTCCCAAGCCAGCTGAGGTGTAGAATCTCCCCAGCTTGTTCCCCAGTGCCCCATACCGACCGATCAGGTGACTGAACCACCTCTACCGGGCCCTCTGGATGTGAGGGAGGCTCTACTCTGACCCCTCCTCTGGAGACCTGCGCTCCTCCACCTTATCACTAACGTTGACCCCCCCGGCTACAACGCCAACGAAGCTAAAGGTGGAAGCTTGTAACTGCGATGTAATACTTCTGGTCAGCAGCCATCGCTCAAGGACACGGACGAGGGTCGGGACTAAATGGACTGATTGATCGAGAGCTTTGCCTTTCGGCTCCCTCTTAAAACCACAGCGATCCTGCATGGAACCAAGCCGCCTGTCCACCTGCCTCTCCACTTCACGGTCACCTATGACCAACCACCCCTCCCCCCCGCCTTTCACGAGACACTTGAACTCCTTCGCTTTAGACAGTAATTTACTCCTAACCAATCGAGGGGAAATATTTTTCACCAATGTGGGAGAAAAAAAACCCTGGACGCTTTTGTTTGCATCTGAATGCTTTCCCTTCTTTGAGTCTGGCAATCAACCGCCAGCCAATTTGTCCCCACTGCAGAAATCAATCGTTCGTTTGAAATTTGAAGAAGGCTGACTAATTATGTATCTGTATAAAATGCAAATGCTCAAGTAAAATACTTGAGTAGAGCGCTCGCTCATCCATCACACCCCCACCCCTTTATGCTGTCTCTCCCTCTGTCTCTCTCGCTCCCCCCTCAGTCAGCTTCCTGCCACAGACACAGCCAGATCGCACTTTTCTGCACAAGGTAAGGACAAAGAAAGCCAAAAGAATCAAGGGAAAAGCAAGAGGATAAAATGGATAAATGAAGTAAAGTAACTGGGTGGAGGCAGGCCAAGTGAAAAAAAATACCCTGAAAGAGAGGAGCTTTCTAAAAATACAAGGCAGCTTACTCCCTGCATTGTTATTTTTTTCTCTCTCCCTTCTGTTTTTTTTTTTTTGCAGTGTCTCCTCCTTCATTCAGTACCTGTTTTGTGGGATTAACATGACTTAAAATTCAATCAGCCTACAGCCTGACGGAAGAGCGACAGCGGAGGCAGACAGAGCGCTGCAGCTGTCGAGACCGAGTGAGGGGGATAGAAGTGCGCGATAGAGGGAGAGAGAGAGAGGGGGGGAGAGAGAGAGAGAGAAAGAGATGGGTGTTTTTCCACGGAGCTGAGATCGAGCCGCGCGGATCGGGAGACGTGACGGCTCCAGGAGTATCGATGGAGTGATCCGCAAGACAAGGTTAGTAATTCCACCTTTTCATCTAGCGGAGGGCAAAAAAAATGTCTTTAGTTAAGGATGAAAGAACCCGATGGAGCATTAACAAATGAATAAAAAAATAAAAAACACCAAGTAGCTGTATGGGGCATATGAAGTGGCAAAGTGAAAACCGGTGGACAAGGAAGCCGAAGAGAAAAAGAAATCCATTGGAGAAGCTGCATATATGCAGCAGCTGCACTGCTGTGCATAAATACGGACGCTCTTATGAGGAAACACACACAAATACAGACGAGAGCACAGCTTCAGAGCAAGATAATGAGATTATCTTCTTATAGGGGTCGGCTGTTGGAGTTGACAGCCCAGTGAGTGAGTGTTTGTGTGTGGGGGGGGGGGGTAGACTTTTCAACTGTCTGACATTCATGGCGCTGATCAATAGCCCCAGTTGTTTCATTAGTGTGTGTGTTTTGTGTGTGGGGAAAGAGCGAGAGGAATGCCGTGTGTGCTTTGCAGGAGAGTAACACTGCATGACTACTTGTGTGTGGTGGCAGCAACGGTGGAGGTGGTGTGTGTTAAAATATGCGCAAATAAGCTGCATGAGCGTGTTTGTCTGCATGTTCTTGGAGGTTCTGTGAGTGTGATCATAAACAAGACAATTCAGCCTGCTGAGAGGCGTTAAGAGGGTCTCAGAACTATTGATTATTTTTGACGGACGGGTGAACGGGAGAGCACCAGCGGTGGGGGGGCAGACATGAAGCGGTTGGGGAGTGTTAAAAAAAAAGAAAAGATTATGGGAGGAGTGAACGATACGGCGCAAGTGTTGGGAAGGAGATGGATGTAGATATCTGGGGGGAGATTGGAGGAGAAAATAAAAGTGCTAATGGACTCAATGTGTGCACACGCAGAGAGTAAAGACAGCGTTGGGGAGGGCCAACATGTACAGTGCAGGCAGTTCATGCGCTTCACACTCTCCTTGTTTCTCCTCTCTTGCAGGTTTCTGGCCATCCCTCAATCTCTCCGGCTCACTCTCTCATACCTCCCTCTCTGCGCCTCCCTTCCAAGGTCATCACTGAACAACTAATTCTATGTTGGGAGGACAAAGACGGCTTGCAACGCGATTGACAGTGACACACCCTGGAAATTACCCCGGGAAGTGAGGGAGGAGGGACAGCGAGAGAGAGAGGATGGGGAGAAAAATAAAACTGTGCGAAAGAATGAGGCAAGCCAGACAGCTAGATGAAGAAATAAGAGGAGATAGAGCTGTGTGAGTGGGGACACAAAAAGGAGAGAGGGAGCAAGAGAAGTTGGAAGGAGGGGCGCGGGGGGGGTGGGGATCACCGCCGACTGAAGGATTCCTATTCGCCGTTGAAGCTGAATACAGCCATGTGGAAATCATATCAGAACTCCATTAATAGGATTTCAGGCACAGTACTGAGGTCTCTATTTGGGAAATACCGGGATTCCGGATTTTCCAAGTTTTCTTCATCCATAGAAGCCTGAGAGGATATTGTCGAATGGAGGGTTTCTGCAACTCTCTCCTCTTCGTGAAAATCTTCTACATCCTCGTCCTTTTGATGGCGCGTGGGGTCGTGTGTGTCTAAAGTGGAGGACAGGTTTCAGCAAAAACACAGTTACACCTCGCCCCCCCCACGCTCCCCAACACCCCTCTCCTGCTGGACCAACACGAGGAGAAACACCTGGAGAGAGATCTGTGCTGAGCACGGACAAACACAAACGCACCCACACATAAAACCCTGGATAACATGTGGAGCTGATTCGGATTACAGAGCCGCACAGACGGAAAAGGTAACGTTCACGCAGGTGCAAGTACACACACACACACACACACACACACACACACACACACTGACAGTAAGGCTCCATGTTGGCACGGTTAACTATCGTGCTGAATCGTTTGGCACATCCTTGTGGTGAACACCAGCACTCGGTGGACCGGGAACTATTCTGTTCTTTATGGCACACGCATCCAACGCACACATTCTCGGTCCTATAAACAATGAACCCAGATAGGAAAAAAGAAACAAAGGGGCCAAGTGAACTGTACGCACAGATGAACACGCACAAGATTATTGCACTTTTCCTTTCTTAGCCTTGTGTTCTAATCCTTCTACACCTCAAAGTCCGCAGTTTTTGTTTTTTGCTGCACACAGCCCAAACGCCAGTGAGCGTGTGTGTGTCTGCTTCTGTGTGTGAGGGTCAGTCAGCTGCCCCGTATCAGATTACTCGCGAGGTGCGTTCTAGCTCGACTTTCATCACCTTGCCTTTATGTAATCTCACCTGGAGTGTTGTGTGCACGTGTGTGTGTGTGCGCGCCTCATGGCGAGAGTGAGTGCGTTTGCAGCAGCAGAGAATAGTTTTTAGCTTAGCTTTTTACGTAAGCCGTTTCTCAGCATGCACGCACACGTGCACACACACACAGATTTGGCACACTGACACAGGAGATCAGACCAACCGAGTGGATATACAGGGGGATAATACGGCAATGAGAAGGAAATGGAGAGGAGCGGGGAGGGAGGATGGAGAGGGGAGGGATGGGTAACACAGTGATGGGCACGGAGGGCTCGGAGGGGGTCAGATGAAGGGAAGGCGGTAGGAAGGGGTGAAGTGGGACGCAGTGATTGACTTCTTCAAGTGGCGAGAACAATGAGACGGGCGAAAGCAAGAAATGGATTGGGAACGAAGGGAAGGAATTATGAAGGGCTCATGGCAGCAGAGAAGAAGAGTCAACAGTATGAGGAGCAATAACAAGAGGACTGGACTGTGGAGCAGAAGGTGATGATGCTACGGAAAAGATTGAGAAGAAAATTACACCTTGACTCAATCTTATTTCTTCCTCAGGACTAAAGAATTGACTGATTAAATGATAGGTGAGATAACCAAAAAGAGATCCACAATGATGAGTGACAAGATAATGAAAGGAGGTTAAAAAGAGGCCAACATGATAAATAGGGATATTTAAACAGAAACACGGATGAGGAAGGAGGGGAATTAGAAATGACAGATGGCCATAACTATGTTGCCTTGTACCATTACCAATATAAACAATTTGTCTAACATGACCCCAAAAAGTCTAAAATATCAACAACACACCATGGGGCCCACCTGTATTTTTACCTGAGAGGAACATTAATTACCCCGGGAACAAGAGATATTCAGCTTAAAAACAATACAGCGTGTTTGTTTTTTTTAAACAAGGGGGACGAGGCTCATTACTTTCTCCGTTGATTGCTAACAGCAGATTTGACTCTCGCTTTGAACAGGGGCGGCTCAAGCTCTGATTAAAAAAAGAGGCCTTTTGAAATCCATTACCCAAACAATAATTCTATAATTGCGCTTCCTCTCCTGCTAGTGATTGTCAGAAGAATGCAGAGCGGGCGAATGTCCTGTGGTTCAAGCGGAGGAATGAGGGCAGAATAAAAGAGCATTCCCGACACCGTCTTGCTGTTGGCACAGGTGTCTGTCATTCTGGGGCCACAGTAAGGACGACGCATGAGCAGATGGGAGGCTCACTGTTCAAAGCAGAAGCGTTGCCAGTATGAGCAGACTGGCAAGTAAGGGAAGAAGAGCTTTATAGAAAAAAAGAATTAAAGTCAGGAAGGCAATTAATTACAGTAAAATAAGATTGCACATCAATGAATTGACCCCTTTGTCAAGCCCCTCCCTCCTACGTCTTTAAAGCTTCCTCTTAATCGTGGCACAAATCTATTGTTTAATTTCTTTGGAAATAATGGTTCCTTAATTTCAGACAAAAGCGGATCGCCGGTTTGGCCTTTCATGAGCTGTTGCTTGTGGACTAATTATGCTGACTTTAGCTTGCCGAGTTGGTTGAAAACATCCTTTACAGACAGACATGTAACGTTTCTGGGTTTAAAAAAAACCTTTAATACGCACATGATAATCAGAAACTCAAAGACTTTCTGACCTTACATAATTGGGAAAGGTTTATATATTTATTCTACAAGGGAAAAGGCATTGAGGATAAATGACCAATCAATTTGTTTAGAGCCGCAGAACAAACCAAAGCTGCTACTTTGACCCTAATCTATGATCTTATGGCATCCAGGTCTGGCTTCTTTGTTAACCAGAATATAATGTGTTAGACAACGCTGCTGCCCTCGTAATGTTGGTTGCCGCCCCAACGAGCTACTTCCTCTGACGTACTAACTTTTGCATGTTACAACAGAGAAATATGACTTATTAATCTACTTTTGTACTTTTAGTTTAGAAGGGTTAAAAATAAAAGGGTAAGGAATGGATCATACAATCTCATAAAAAGCACAATGTCAATCATGGCTAAGCCATGAAAGAACACAAATCTGAAGAACAGATGAGAGACACCGATTAATGGAGCGTTTAGAACATAGTGACCAACCAGATGGATCTGGTTGGTCTCTCTTTGATTCATCCTCACTAAGGATGAATCAAAGAGAAAGATGAATGATAGAGGTGGGATGTCACACACCCTTCAGATTCCACGGTCTTTCAATTCAGGCGAAACACGCAAGATTTAAACCCGAAAAAATAGGTAGACGTGGCCACTGGGAGAAAGGTGGCATTTGATGGACAAATGACAAACTGTGGAGGGAGGGAAGTGAAAAGGAGGGAGGCTACGAGGATGAAACATCAGCCCGCTGTCCACTGCTGAGGAACCGAAAGGCAGATGATTGAAAGCCTTATGGAACAATATCGGGATGAAGAGGAGTAATTACAAGAATGGCTGCTTAAGATAGGGAGGAACTCTTAAGAGGATGAAGAGACACTGAGTAATGGAAAATGAAAATCCATGGAATGACACGAGAGGTGGGTGATAAGAGAAGGAAAGGATAAAGGAAAAATAATTTCTGAAAGAAAACCACCAATGAAGCGCTGGCACTAGCGAGATGGATGAATGACTGGAATCAAATAGCAACACCATTGAATGTTGAAAGGATGAGTAATTAAACAGTAGTCAGACATTGTAGGAAAGAGGGACGGGAGAGGAATTAGAAGTCAAAGGATGAGAGGAGGAAATGATGGAAGGAGAGATATAGTTTGTCACAGAGAGGAGTGACTAAGGGGTGGAAGCTACACGCGTAGTGCAGAAGTATGGATAGATAGAGGGATGAAAGGATGAGTAATTAAACTGTTGACAGTCTGTTTAGGCGCAGCGGGCTCCCGATGAGCAGAACCAACTGTAACCACGGCAACCGAAAGGAGACAGACTGAGGGATGTTTTTGGGGGAGGCCAATGTAGAGGAGGGGGGACGGGGGAGAGCCAACTGTGAAAGTGTGTGTGTGTGAGGCGACAAGGGGGGATCAGAGGGGAGTCACACCGCTGAGTGACACAGGTGGGAAATGAGGGATGAAAGAGGGCAGGAAAAGGTACCGGGAGGGAGGAGATGAGAAGATGGAGGCCTGAGCTAGTTTAAGAAAAATCTTGACTCATTAAAGCGTCCGTGAGCCCTTGCAGGGAACCCACGTAGCTGTAAAAGATGAATCAATTCTCTTGGTAATACTGATATGAATCTATAAAACTACATTTAAATATTATTCAGGTAAGCAGATGGACAATTGCTCATTAAAGTTATCTGGCTAACTTCCTAATCCTACTTTGTTGAAACCCCCTTTGGAGACAAGAGGGGGAACAACTGATGTATTCAGTCTCAGAGAAGTGAACACCAACAGCCTCATTTCCTCTCCTAACACCATCTATATGCTGCTCAGCTGGGCAGCTCCAAATGTATCCAATGACCCAAATACATCATGCAATGGCTTTTTATTTTAACCTGGATGGACGGACGCTAAGGGTGCGTAACTGATAAGACCCATTGATCTGTTGGGAATATCTTCCTGCGTCGTTGGAAACTGTAAATTCAGTTATTTAGACATCAAACCAGAGGCGTTTCGTGAGAATCCTTCCGCCTCCCCGGCAGCCGTCTACCAGAATACTAACCGACCACTCCCGTGACTGAGCAGGTGTTCGTTGGCATTCACAGCAGATGCAGCGGGGTTGCGGACGTTCGAGTGAATCGGGATGCGGGATACGGCGTGGGCGACGACTGTCAGGAGGAAAAGCGGCTTGTGGTACTTTGTCTGCGGCGTGTACCAGACTAGGTTTGACTGCGAAGCACGGCGCGTCCCCGCCTGCATCAGCAGTGCTGAATGAGAGACGCAGCAATAGGCAAACTCGAGGGAAACCGGCCCACTGCAGCGTTATCAGTGCCTCACGTCAGGGAGGGAAAAAAAGCACTTTGTGCCGAGTTTACAATTCAGCTTGTGATTCATTACGGTTGAGAGTAGCTTCTGTGATCAAACAAGCCCGATAGGCCTTAACCACGTTATGGGGGACGGACGCACAGATGAAAGGGAGAGAAGACGGTTGGTGCCATGTGGTGCTTGTGTAGCGTTAATCACTACACCCATCAGTTTGATGCAGAGGCGCTGTTGGCACGTCCTCACCCCACTGGGCTGGACGCAGAGCGCCGGTCGGCCAACTGTTCTTACTCAAGATTCCCCTCAGAAAGAGCCCGGGTGTATCAACCATCCGCCACTATCACGCACACACATGATTACAGCGGCATTCATCGTTTACATCAGACCGATGTTGACAGACGCCAATGTCCAACAAGAGCGATCAATATACATCTTGTAACAAATTGCATGATAGCACGATACCGGTCTAATATTCAGGAACCTCATAGAAACTCCTTTCATCATTTTTATTTGATGCATTGGTAAAACACCAATAATAGCCACTTTCAAATAAAGAAGCTTGCGAGTACATAGAGGATGCTAATCCAGATACC